CCAGGGAAGGGCTTAGACCGGTCAGTATCCTTATGTATTAATAACTGAGCTTTGTAGAATAGAGTGAACAGTTTGCCCTCAACACAGCTAGTTATCAACAGCGAATTTAACTCTACCAATCCTTTATTATGTACTGTAGCGTCATTGGAAACGTAAAAAGGCATGGGAAACTGTGATCAGTTCAACAAACCAGATCGCAATCGTAACAGGGCTGCTTTGTAGCTTTTCTCTCAAATGAATTTCCAAGTGAGTCGGCTAGAAGCCACATTGGGCAGAAGCGGGGAACCGACTGAGTGAGCACTGAGATGTGAGTGGTTTGACAATCTTGCACAAGAACAAGGAGATAACAAAGTTGCGTCACCTGCAATTTACCGTGTGTTGTTTTCGAATTGGCTACAAAAACGCCAGACTAGAAGTACGGACATTAAGTCATTTTCTCCAAAGCTAGAGACTGTTACTCAAATCGATTATGACTTAAGACGTCATCAATCAGGGTCAGGCCAACTCATTATCCATCCTTAATTACCACTGATGAAAAAAAACGCTCGCCAAAAGTGCACATCTAACGCGATCGATAAATCAAGTGGATTGATCGGTTGTAAACAACTTATCCTACGCTCAAGGAACCTAGTATTCTACAAGATGGAAAAAGTCGTATCGATGAAGCACTATTTTGCAATCGGGACCTCGTCCTTTAAATGAAGTCAATCCATCCTGAAGCGCTGAGAATCTCTGCGTAACTGCTTCCAATCCATTAGGAATCATCAGTAGTGCGTATCCCAAGAACACACAGGGAGATATTGTTCTGTAACCTCCTGGCTCCTGGTTGAAGACAAAAACGTTCGACACTGAGAAACTGAGCAGTCTGATGAACTCGTACCCAGATAGGATAGAACTCCATTTGTCCTTCAAATCATGTGACAAGTTCTCAAACGAAAAACCTTTTGGCATATGGATAACTCCTCATTTTGGGCTACAAGAATTCATCCTCAAATCTTTGGCTTGATTTTTCTGAAACATTCAAGGACCGGTGAATCCATCCAGAAGAGATTGGTCGAGCGCATTTGACCATAATAACAAATCGTAAATTTAGGTAGATGGGCATAGGACAAACATATTGTAGATGCGGATTGTAGGTGCGCGATCGACCATAGGTGTGGTTGCTTGGCCGAACGAACTTGGGATGAGCGGTCCGCACTGGCTTTGCTGGTGTACTTCAGCGTTACGTCAGGTCCCTTACTTTTCATCTCAAGGCATTCCAACATTTTTTCGTGGGCTACATCGACAGAAATCTCAGGGTGATCTGATATCAAACTAAGGTTTCCCAGGAGACGCTCAATCGACAATCTGTCATCTGGAGACGGATGCGGAACGCAGGCTACCTGAACTTGAAATCGGGTCAGTTTGAAGTTCCCGCTTTTTCACTGATAGCATTTTATCGGGGTTGGTTTTAAAGATTCTCCATACAACTTAGCATCAAGAGGATATGGTCTCATAAACCGCAATAGTGAAGTCACAAACAGTCCGTAAGAATGACCCCTCCCCCGGACTATGCTGAGATTGGTCACCTTGTGTCATGAACACCAGTGTAGCGCAATGTGGGAGACACTGTGTAGTGTCATTTGCTCGATCTGTTCATTGATCGGCTCCTGCGTCGGTCTTAACCTGCGGTAACTGGACGGGTGAGAAACGAGTCAGTTTGCCCCCCCCCCAAGTGGTGTCTAATCCTGAGTCTCAAGACATTTCACTAATATTCGAGGGTAACTTGACGGCTACACTTTTGTTAAGATCGCCTTCCCAAATACTAAACAATAAATCAACCCTCAGTGAAGTGATTTGAACCTTGGATTCCGTTGTTCTTGGCCAGAAATATGGCATTGCAATCAACGAATTGTTCGCCATATACTTATTTCTCTCATTGGGCACTCGACACCAACCGCCAACTGCAGTCTGACTTTTTCGATTCTTGGAAATGCTGGTAAATTCATGTGGTTGGGTCCGAGGTTCACCCATAGCAGTAACAATTCGTGGGTTTATCAATCACGGAATTGGATTCAACTGTTGAAAATCTTAGGAGCGTTGGAATGTAAACGCAGCTGGAGACCACATCGCCATCACTTGATTGCAATCCATGAATTTAATGTATTTACTGTCGGAAACAGTTGCTTACACCAACAGAGAACGTTGTTTCCCTGCTTCGCTTGATTGTCCGGTCTGCCGACATCGTCTAACTTTGAGTCACGTAGCGCACGCACACCGCGCATAAGCGTGTGGTTTCGTTGTCTAGGTCAGAACTGTCATTTGACGGACACAGTTCGCAATAACATGTTTGAACAAGACAGTAAGTGTAGTGCCACTACAAAATGTGCACGTCTCGTCAGGAATGGAGCTCGAAGATGCGCCCGCCTGGTCTGGCTCGTAAATCGAGTGATTGCCCAACTGACTGTCAGTTTTCAGCGCATCGACTGTTCATCTTTCACGATTACCCGTAGCAATTTGTCAGTGCAACGGATCGGATGCAAACGTGAAAACGACGAATGTCACAGTATTGACAGGATTCGCCTTGACCTACTGCATAACAAAAATTTACTGTCACACCGAAGCAAATAATATTTGGACAAGGCAAGTATGAGTTTTTTTAATTATAAATTCAGCATTAAAGCTGGTGCTGAATCCAGACTGCTGTCAGAAATTTGCCTTCAGTTTTGCCCATTGCATTTTGCCGATGTCTGACTTAATCGAGATCGGGGAAATCAAGCCTACTCAGCGGTAGAATTCCAGAAGGGAACAAACAGAAGACCTTTTGAGGGAATAGATTAAATCGAACTTTGGTTAAGATAGCGTTTTCCACTTGGACAGTTTGTGCTAGCAAGACATGGCTGGTAATGCCACTGTTATCTGTTTGTCTTGAAAACCGAGTCAAACATTTCGGTGCTGAATAGACCAAAGCAGCGCCCTAGAGGCGTCTATCTGCCATTTGGGCTGTTGGGAAAAGGCAGTCCAATCCTAATGTTGGTGGAATTCGTGCTGGAGAGCCGTGTGTTTGGAACCAGAACTGAGCTACAGACACCAGTCGGCGGCGGCCGATCTTAAACCAGGGTTAACTTACTTCCAGGAAACCTGAACCTCAGATGTGGCAGTAACAGATTTCTTCAAAAGAATAGACTGACAAAGCAACCAGAGAGTCTATGAAAATATTCTGTCCAGTCTGTAGCACCCTTAGGCTTCATAGTATTTGGTCTCTTGAACGAAATGTTATTGGTTATACGAAGGACACGTGCTGCTCTGCATGCAGTTTGAATATTGAGTCTCCGAACGAGCCATCCAAATATGAGGTCCGTGAAAGAATTTCCTATGCGTCAATGGAATTTATACTTTTGAAATAGAACTGTTCCCGTGTGCCGTAACAAACTCGAGTAAAATCAAAAGAGGTCTTCTGATCGAGCCTTTCGGAGATACCCTACATTTCCTCTGAATGGGTTTACCTTTGGAACCGCATTGTGACTGGGAAGTCTATTTATGGGGACAAATAAACAACGCCCGTGCTGAGTGAACTACACTCATTCGCGAACTAATTTGGTTTTGCAGGAGACTCACTTGGTACTCAGGTGAATCTCTCATTTATGATGTTTTTTAGGCCTTTGAATTGGTATTTTCAACCCACGTCACAGCATAGAAATTACAGCTGATCACGATCTTTCCGACAATTGTTACGCATATGGGCAGTTGATGAGTGAGTGCAAAAACAAGCAAGTAGCACATGCCGGAAAATAAGACAATAAGTGGGGCAGGCAAATCTCTGCCGAATAAACAAACGACAAAAATGTCCTGATCCGTATTCGAGGCTGGTGAGGGGATAGAAATTGGGTCAGTGGAAGACAGCCGCTCTTAGAAACGCATACACACACACACATGCAATCCGTCATGTTCTCCACATATTTTCAACCCACGTCACAGCATAGAAATTACAGCTGATCACGATCTTTCCGACAATTGTTACGCATATGGGCAGTTGATGAGTGAGTGCAAAAACAAGCAAGTAGCACATGCCGGAAAATAAGACAATAAGTGGGGCAGGCAAATCTCTGCCGAATAAACAAACGACAAAAATGTCCTGATCCGTATTCGAGGCTGGTGAGGGGATAGAAATTGGGTCAGTGGAAGACAGCCGCTCTTAGAAACGCATACACACACACACATGCAATCCGTCATTGTTCTCCACAGGATGTCTGAATGTACAAGCTACCATCCACACACGTGTATCAGTCGATTAGAGACGTGTGTGTGTGTGTAGCAGTCCATGCTTGTATGACATGGAGAGAGCGTTTCTGGTTTGTTTGCTTGTACGCGTGTTTTTATATATGGGCTATGATGAAGGAACCATCTCAGCCAGACACACACATGACCAAGCATAGGTGGGGGACCAGGGAGAATAGGTTGGAATGGTGTGGTGTGTGGGTTGGAGTGGAGAAGAGCGGAGCTAGACCAAAGAATCGCCATCGGTCAACAGGCCGGCGGACGGGCACACCCTATTTTGCTGAATCACTAATTTATCTATACCGTCGCCGCCTCCACCACCACCACCACCATCCACAAGAAAACTTTTTCTCTTACAAACTGACCGCTTCCACTCCTCTAGGTGCGGTTGTAGGTAATACAGCAAGGGAAAAAAAACCACGATGGCGACAAACAGTAAATACACACAAATATGACATTAATAGGTATGTTATAACAATTGATGGGTAATGCTATAGTAGCTATTTAACATGTTATTATATGAAATGCGAAGCAGCCTGACCAGAAGCTACACAAACAAGTCGCACTTTCAGGTAACCTTGTGGTAGCGGCACAAGCACCTCACCTGAAAGCCATCTGAAGAGTTTGTAGAGGTTGGGGCTGATATTACTGAAATGATTCACTAGACCTCTGCTAAAAGTACGCGGTAATTAGAACATAACTAGTCTACACCCGACATGTTTAAAAAATGGCAGTTTACGTACCCTATCCAGTTTCATACGTTTCATTGGTGGCACGCTGTTTAGGCTGGAGGGGCCAGTATGATTGTTAAGTCCAACACAGTCAGAGTGTTCTTCTTCCGTTTTCACAGCAAATTCGTACGGATCCACAGGGTCACCAGTTCCTGAGACAACCGAGGAGGCAGAAGAGCAGCTAGTTGACTGATGCACAGAAGGAGTGGATTTAGCAAACTGCACCGAAACGCAACCATTTGTGGCGCTAACGGTTCGCCTCTTCTTGCTCGCTTTCGGAGCACCGTTGTTCAGCATCGTGTTATGCGTTTTGGTTGCTTTCCCTGGCCTGGCGACATCTGTACAAGGGGATTGCTTCTTGCGTTTCCCGATTTGGGATTCACTGCCAGCAGCACCGCTGCTTGTGTACTCGACGGTGTTAACCGTCCGTTCTTCAGTTATTGTCCCTGGGCGAGTTGCGGAACGTCTGTTTTTAACCTTCATGACATTTGAAATATCACCCGGCTGGTTTATTATAGGATCCAGTGTGATCGTATTCCGTTAGTCGACGTACTACCGAACCAGAATGAGACTCTGCATAAACATTCACACAGGGAATGGAAATGGATCCTGATCGATTTTCACCATTATATTATTGTTGGGAGTAATAACAACAACAATCATAGTATTCCATTGTGAGAGAAAAGAATTTCGTGCACACCAGTATGGATAGGCGCGCTAGTCACAAGTAAGGACGTTCATCTGCTGCCGGTATGTATCCGTTCTCGCGTCCGTTTGCACAACTGCGAGAGATAGATGTCAGCTGTGAACCACCCACTGTTTTGAGGGTTGGTGCGTGTGAGCGTGTCTGTCTTTATGTTGGTGTGCGTACGCATGTTTGTTTCATTTATGGTGGTGAGAGCAGAGCGTAACGAATCCGGACCCGATGGCGCGGAGAGAGAACGACAGACATACACCAAACACAACCACGTAGCTCGACAGCACGCTGCAGCTAATGGAGGCAACGGACACACAAACACTAATGCTCGCAACGTAATTTTTTCGGTTGTCTGGCCAACCCATTCATGTGTGGTCGCATGTTTTCAGGTTGGTGTAAGATCATCACACCAACAAAAAGTAGCGATGCGCGTGTCACCTAACCGTTTAATGTGTGATGTGCCGTTTACTTTTATCAACAATTGAACATAGATTTGTCGCGTCAACGGGGCGTATAAATGCCTGTGGCCGATTGGCTCTACCATGTCCAATCAAACGTTATGAGCGCAGTAAAGGCGTAAATAGCTTCGTTTACGGAAGCATTTCATCATGAATTATCACACATCTGCGGGAATGGCAGCGCGTGAACTTTGCCAATCGGTTGCTCATAGATTTTCTGGATCAAACAGAATCGGACTGTTCACTGGTTGCTTACACTGTGAACGTCAATTTATTAATTTGAAGGATTAGACGAACGATTGGGTGGAACCAAAAACACTATTTTTTATCACTTTTTTTCGTAGCTTGTGCACAGCAGTTTATCAACTTTGCACCTGGTCTCTGGACGTTCGTTTTCCATGCACAGTGCGTGAATCGACCTGAGTAGACCAGGAAATTTGTATCTGTTCTGATTTGAATTATCACAGATTTCCAACCAGAACTGTGTGAATTCGTTGGTTACTTAGTGGGAGGTAAATCCACCCACTATTCAAAGCAGAGAACAAACGTACAAGCGTTATGCAAAATTACATTTTTGCTTCGGAAGTAAGATGCCGCTTTTAGGAACAGACCACTTTTTTCATAGGTCGGTAAGACTTCAAAGCTCTGATTTAATTCGATGCTTTCAGTTGAACTAGGTAGTGAGTTTGTCTGGACAATATGTCATTGGGCAACCAAGGTCACGTGGGGGTGTTACGACCACTACACAGTGAACTTCTACATAATAAAGATGGTTTTGGTAATATTCCAAATATTAATTAGGGACAACACTACCTGTATTGCGTATTTTGGGGAGTAAAATTACCCCACGCATCACTACATGTTCAAAAAGTGTGCAGTAATTTCTTACAAAAATATCCGGTTTTCAATAACCACAAATCTCGTGCGACGATGGCATACTTGGGCAACATACAGGGAATAAGTGGTAGAATCATATTGAAAGTTGGAGATCAGGAATTACTGAAGAAAAACTAAGACACACCTTGATATACAAAGATGAGAGACGTTCCGACAAAGTCGCCAATACAAGCCAACCTAAACGGACTGGACTTCTTCCGTCTTTGGATTCAACTGGTGTAAGAAGGCAGCCGAGCCACTGATCAGCAACATACCAGCTATGACTGCTGCCTCACAAACTTGACTGGATGCATATCCGGGAGCCATACATACATAAATAAATAACTAAATAAAATAAATCTCGCTCCTCCATGTTCTTTCGTAACTTGCGTGAACGTTTTTAGGGAGGTCGTACGTGGTTCCATCTAACTACTTTTTTTTATCCCTGGATGATACTAATAGTGGATCACCGACATGCAGCCAGGTTGCTAGAAAACGACTAATGAAAGTGATTTCTATGTTAAACGGAACCAGGAGAACTGTCCAGAGGGCTCAGTTCAAAACGATCGTAAGGCGTTAACAAAGTAGACAAATTAGCATGGAAGCATTTAAAAAATGCTTCGAACACAGGACAGTCGAGGACGCCAAACCGACCAGTAAATAGAACTGGAGTGATCTATCATTGAGGCCAGTATTGCCGAAAGTTGCCAAGTGATTCTGTACTCGTCTAGCGCAGCTTAACATATAATTATAATATATAATATAATATGATATAATATAATATAATA